TTTTTTTTTTTTTTTTAATGGGACGTAGTCAGTTGTTGGACACAGATTCACAACAGGATATTATGTTAAGTGCTGGGGCACTGTATTTTCTGTGCTTGTATGGGTTTCATTTGAGTGCTTTGGTTTCCTCAACAAGCCAAAGACATACTTCTTAAGTTATAATTGCTTGTTCTTAATAATTCTTTACGTTGTTTGTGTCACAACAGTCAGACATTTAAACGTCTGACCACCATGGGGTAAACATCTGTTAATCTAATAGTCCTAGTGTAAATTTATGGTAGTCTGTCTCTATGTATTGCCCCCCTGTGATCAACTGCCCAGGGTGTACCCTGCCTCTTGCCTTCTCCTGAGACATACTCTAGTGCCCATACTTGGACAAATGGTTAAGACAAAGGATGAAGATTTTGTTGATAAGAGTAGGATTTGAAATTTTGGGGGTCCTGGGAGAGGAGATTTAAAAGATCCCATCACTCACCAGTAGGAAAAATTATTAATCTAGTGCAAAACTTCAACTTTCTAAGTCAGAGTTTGCAGATATCTGCTTCATTATAAACAGTCAACTATTATCTATACTAATCAAGGGACATGATAAGTCATTATTTGTACTGTATGACTTAGCTTTTAGTCATATGTATCAACTGCATGTTCACTTTTCTGTAATTGATGAAAGTAGCACAACTTCTTTGTTTCTTTTTTTTTTTTTTTTTAAACCCTCACCTATCAACAGTGACTTTAAAGAGGATCGACCTGACAGGGAATTTGATCTCCGAGATTGAAGATGGAGCCTTCTCCAAGCTAACCCTCCTGGAGGAATTATCTCTGGCTGAGAATCAGCTGGTCAAACTTCCTGCACTCCCTGCCAAACTCACATCTTTCAATGCCAACTACAACAAGCTCAAAACCAAAGGAGTGAAGGCTAATGCTTTCAAGGTACATCATGACCTCTACCAACAAACAACCAACTCTGGTGACTGATTTGGAGATAAAAAAAAAACCTAAAAGGTTTTACTAAAACATACAAACTGACAATGAGCCATGTCAACTATCCTTAGCAGTGATCACAAATATTTTACATGTTCCTGAAAGGGTAAATCATCTTGTTAACCACCTAATTGTATAAATGCTCCAAGATACTATACTTTCCAGGTGAGATGAATATCAATGCTTGAATTTCTCAAAATGTTACCAGAGAATTATGACAAGGTATTATCTTTATATACAGTACACCATCAATTCAACACAGTGTTAGTACAACTAACTACTAAAGTTGATGTGTCTTGGCAGTCCAACTTTCTTTCTCCAAATCTTTTTTGTTTCCAACAGAAACTCACCAAGCTGGTTAACCTGTACCTGTCCGACAACATGCTGGAGGCTGTTCCATACATCCCAGAGAGTGTTCGGAGCTTACATCTTCAGGTTTCTATGTTTTATTAACATAAAAATACATTGATTTTGGTCACCAGTGACATCATCAAATTGGTACACAACTTGTGTTCTAGAGTAGGGTTTGATAAACTTCTCCATAGGGGCCTACTGTACTGAGTTCCACAGTAAAAACGCATACTGTGTGGCCCAAATGCAACAGCACTACTGCCAAATGGATTAAAGGAATGGTGCAGTTCCTGCATTTGCTAGTATGCACAAGGCTCCATGCAGATGCAGGCCAACCAATTTTTCGTGCCCACTCAGGAACATCTGCCAAGATGCACACAATGCACTTGCTATGCATGTGTGTAAATTTCAAAGAGCTATGAAAGGAAAGACTGTCTGTGGCGTCTGCAGCTGTTTGTGTCCTTGCCCACAACTGAGCATGGGTTTGCTTAGAGACACTGCTGGGAAGTTAATTCCCTGTCTACCATCATGAAAAGACTGCATGTGTGCTACTTCAGCAGGAGAGCTTTGTTGCCTGTCATAACTTGTGACCATTAAGTACATGAATATCAGCCTTTATGTTTTTTAATATGTGTAAAAAGAGCTTATTTGCCTTTCATCCACACAAACTCGGTGACTCAAAAACTTGGGAATGAACTAGTCAACCCCAGTTATATTAGACACAAATTTAAAGTCAGACTATAATGCCCTCCTTCTGTTTTCTCTCATTCTGAGATGATGACAGATCAATGTGGTCACCCCTACATTCACATCCAGACTGATCTCTGTTGCAAGTACTGGTCATATGTAGGAATGCCAAAATGAAAGTACACCATGACTTTATTAGTTACTTTTGAGAATCACTCTACTCATTGTTGATCTACAAGATCCCTCTCCGTTGGTACAACCCTTTTCTAGATTAAATTTAAAACCTGAAATTTTTATTAAAAGTGAGGTGTAAAAAAAGACTCTACCAATATTATTTTATTTTCTTCCAGAACAACAACATCACTGAGGTCAATGTGGACACCTTCTGCAGGTCCAATGACACCTATTACCTACGACCAAGTCTTAATGAAGTCCGCCTTGATGGCAACCCAGTGGTGCTGTCAAAATACCCCGACAACTTCACCTGTATGAAAGTACTGCCTGTTGGAAAGTACCGTTGAGGAGACTGAAATTTAACTGCACTCCCTTTGTTGCTGATGGAAGTTTTCCCACAACAAAGAGCTGGGAGACACCATGGTATTTTGGATTTGTGGAGCTGGTCCCACAGATGTCAACGTTTTTACTTCGGCAAACCTACAATCAGCATGTATCAGGTCAAAATCAAACCTCTGACTGGACTGAAGGTGTTCATTAACTCACCTAAAGGCCTTTTACTGACTGGTGGGCAGTAAAGGGAATTTCATTAGTGTAATTAATCTCAATATGCTTCAAACAACCAGTTTGTCTAACCACATTTAAAATTAGTGTTTCTACCTGTAATCAAAATAACAGAGTCAAAGCCGGCTGTCATGTATACTTGGCTTAATCCCTTATGTCTTTAAAATAACTGTAATGTGGTGTATTACCCTTGGTGCACTGAATCATTTTACACCTGCACACACATAACCATTGAAGTGGCAGTATTTGTTAGATTGTTGCAATTTCTAAGGCTTAAATCCCACAAGGACTTTACTGGTAGCCTTAAAGTACCCTTTTCACAGGTAATAAAATGCTACTACAACTACTATAATCCTATAAATGAGTGCAGCAGTTTTAACAGTTCTACTCTGACAGTCCAAGTTGTTGTTTCATTTTGACCTGCTGATTTACTACATGGATGAACCAATCTTAACAACAACAAAAAAATCCCAAAACAAACAAAACTACTTGTGACCTTGAAACAACAGAAACACCTCCTGTCACAAACGAAGAGGCTTTCTTGCAGCCCAATGTCTTCACATTGTTAGTAGACTGTATCTAATTGTGAGCAGTAAGAAAATGTATTTATATTTCAAGTTATTTACTGTAAGCATCTTCATTTTTGCTGTTTTTGCTCATCTAAACAACTGACTTTTAGTGCAAAATCTGACATTTCGAAGTTTTACCTAAAATTAGCAAAAAAATACTACATCAAAAACAATAGATCTAAATAAATGGACCCAAGGCAGATTTTTCCGATTTACCTCTGAGTAAAGGGCACTCAATATATGACTGAAGTGCAGTTTAATTGATGCATTAGTAATTATAATAATGCTTTATTTTTAAAGTTTCACATTCAGTTTCTTCACAATTAAATTGTCACAGCTGAATGAAAATTGTGGTACAAAAAGTATATTTAGACATTTTTAGTAAAGCCAAATCTAAACATGCTGATAACTGACATAATTCATGCTGTCTGGTCTGTATGTTTAATCTAGGACTCTGGCACGTTCCTGTATGGGAAGATCCATATTTATCACAAACTGACCCTTCATGCAACCCTGTTTTGACCCATGTGTTTTCTAGTGAGCTGTTCCTATCTTTACTTGTCTTTAAGAAAGTCATTACTTGACATTTTAGAGTCCTGACAACAGAAGGAGGGAAGAAGCAGGATTGAAGTAATTTTAGTTATACAAAAGGAATACTTGATATCTGCATGCTGATCTATATCTAGTAGATCTATATCTTCAATAGAACATTGTCACATGTCCAAAAAAAAAAAAAAAAACCCCAACAACAACAACAAAAATATATTCTAACTGGCCACAAATCTGTGATCATTATTAACATTCCTCTTTACATTAACTGTATGTAGCTTTAAGATATTTTTTTTTTCTTTGCTGATTAAAAACTACATTTCTTGAAATACAAGAATATTGTGTAAATACGTTAACTAAGTGAAAAGTGTGTGTTGTTCTGCTATGGTGTGGATTAATTGCACTTTTCATTATTCCATTAGACTTAAGTATTTTGTGACTTACCTTTGTTTTCTTAATTTATAGACTCCAGCAGAAATGAACTGGGGAACAATGTATCTATGAATTATAGTAATGTGAAAGTTACTCCTCTTGCTTCTATAGTGTCTTACGTTTGTTCCCAACTCTTCCCTACCATTAATTAAAATTAATTTAGAGATTATTACTGATGTGAATAAGATAGTGGTGTACAGGAATATGTTACATGGCTATGTTTGAAGATATTCTAATAAAGTTCAACTTTTTTTTAATATAATGTGTTTGAAATCAATATTAGAGTAAGCTTCACTTAAAAGCACTTTAGGTGGTTAGTTAGACTAGAAATTTACTGTAGAAATGCCAGTTAATTTCGAAAAATAATATTGTTTTCAATATATAAATTATATATTACAACAACATGAATAATGTTATGTAAGGGGTTTTAGAGGTGTCGTATATAAAGCGGCTTTGGTTTGGAACTTTAGTTTTTACTTGTTGATATCACTGCTAAAAGGGACAAACACGTTTCCCTTTTTTTGGTGAGAATTTCATGTCAAAAGAATATATAAGGAATATATTTCTATATTTACTTAGAAAATTCACATCCATGTTAAATATGTATTTTGCCCACTCTACAGCTACTATGTGTCCATTACACATTTATTACAATAGTAAAGTGAATAGTAGAAGATACTGATAATAGTGAACGACAATCAGTTCTTTTGTGACAGCTGCAATGATGGCACAACCATCAACGTCAATCAGTGTTCACAGTGAGTTGACTACAAATACAAAGAACTGTGGATGAAGAAAACACCAGGGGTAAGTAACAATGTTGTGTTCGGGGCAAGTAACAGCTTGTACATTAGACAAGTGTGCATGCTCCAGCTAATGATGGTAAGTTTTTGGTCATAATAAAGTACTGGAAAGACAGAAGTCGATTTTTAATTCAAACCACTAGCACAATAAACACAAACAGCAAAACAAAAATTGCTGAACTCAGCATGTGGGTATTGGTCTATGCATGTGTGGAGAAATTTCCAACTACCTATCCACAATACCAAAAACCCAGTTAGCACTGAAATTGTATTTTGCTAATTATACCTATTGATGTGTATGACAGAAACTGCCTTGTTAATGCTATCAGCCAGAAAAAACTTTAGGATTCTTGTGCAGAGATGTATGTCAGCTCCTGTGCTTCTGTATTTTTATATGTTTATTCCTCCAAGTACATGTTTTGTCTGTGTGTGTCATAAAAGCATGGAATACATAACAGCAAAACAGTTATGGCGGGAAATTTGTTTTTCCATACAAGACCTGAAAAAATGCAAGTAAAGCAAAATAAGAGTTTGGAACACATAGACCAGTATGGAAAATGTGGGTTAATCCTCCTTCAGCTCAGCCAACTTGGCAGAACTTTGCATTCTCCAAGTGAACAGGAGAATAGGTTCCACATTGCTTGTGCAGCTTGATGTACTATTTGATATTTCATTGCTACCTCTTCAACAAAGTCCCACCCTAATATCTCATATTATCATGCTCGCACCACTTCACACCTACTGCATTAACCCATGGTATTCTACGCTTTTCATTCCTCTTCAATTGTCTATCTCTGTAGTAAGTGTCACTTTTTGGAGGTGTTGTATTTTCACTATTTTCACTTTATAAAAAATATTCTCTGAAAATCAGATAACAGAAAAAAGACAACTCACATAGAATAAAAATGATGACCCATAATGATGAATCATCAACAGGAACATTTTTCCACCTATATCGATTCACTTAGGTATCCATATAGCCATTCTTCGTACATTCACCAAGTTTAACCTTAAGACATATGTCTCCATTAAATTTCTCTCACATTTAACCAAACCGCTCTTTATCTAGATAATCTATGTGCACTTCTTCACAATACCACTAGATGTCTACATTAGCTACTCTGTTAGCTCATGACGTACAGATCAGGTGGTTAAATTTGTTAGGTTTGTGAGGGCAAGTTTGCCGGACCGTCCATTTTGGTGCATGTGTGTTTTCACTTACTTGGAATTGTTGGAAAGTTCTGCTTCGGTCATCACATCTGTCTGAAAAAGTTCTTAAGGTCCTGAAGAATAGCAGAAGATCCCTGCTCTCCTCTACCCTGAAATTACATTGCACAGATCACTAAAGCAGTTTATTTAAGCCCCCCACCAAGTAGCCAAATGGCTCCAGCCCATGTCACATGAGTTTAACATTCATAGTTTGATTCCAAACAGGGACCTTGTGCACCTCTCTCCTTTTGATTTTTGTATGCCAATTCGCCCTTACTGGGCCAACAAAGGCAGAATGCAAAAATCATTAAGAACACTTTTTTAAGCTATCACAATCCTCAACGGTATCCAGGAAATACTGATTCAAAGTGTGCATGCATGTTAGTATGCTATTGTTTGAGAGTTTGCACTTAAAACACAGTACAAGCTTGATGGTATGGTTATTACTTTGACAGGAATTTGGTCATAAACCAGGCTAGTCACTCCATACAAATTTATTTTATGTAAGAGTAAATATCCTCCAGCAGCCTACAGATGGCTGGTTGTGGTGGTGGAGGAAAGCGGTTGCAGTGATGTCAAAGGGGGAGCAGGAAAATTTTGTAGCTTATTTAGAGTGTCAGGTTGGTTTGTTTGGTTGATGGTATGAGGAGAATGAGGCAAGTTACAACAATTGGAAATCATTACTGCCATTAATGTCTGTATAAACAATCTTGAAGAAAATAACAACTTAGCAATCCATAAGGGTTTTCTTAATGTTATAATTTTAACAACAGCACCTAAACAATTTCATGCAATAAATAAATAGAATGAACATAAAAACTATGTTGTGATTTCTCCACTGTTCTGGAAAAAGGAGACACCATTAGGGCTGGGCCATATCATACCGTTCACGGTAATACGGTATAATGTTGGGCAATGATAAGAAAATGAAATATTGCGATAGAATATGGGTAAAACGCACATGCGCAGTGCCTTTGTTTTCATACGCACATAGTGGAAAAAGCGTGGCAGCGACGCAGAATGAGAAGAGCGAAAGTGGATTGTTGAATGAAACAGATGAACCAGAATTGGTTTTTAAAATTCCTGCTAAACATCAGCAAGACTAAGGAGCTGATCGTGGACTTCACCACAAAGCAGGCGAGGAATTACAAACCCCTCATCATCAGTGGTACGCCAGTGGAGAGAGTGGACAGTTTCCGATACCTGGGTGTCCACATCACTCAGGACCTGTCATGGTCCTGCCACATCAACACCCAGGTTAAGAAAGCCCGCCAGCGTCTCTTATTCCTCAGAAGACTTAGAGACTTCCATCTGCCACTGAAGGTGCTTAAGAACTTCTACTGCTGCACCATCGAGAGCGTCCTGACGGCAAACATCTGCACCTGGTTTGGGAACAGCACCAAGCAGGACAGACGAGATCTGCAAAGAGTGGTGCGCTCAGCCGAACGCATCATTCAATCAGAGCTCCCTGACCTGCTGTCCATCTACACCAAGCGGTGCAAGTCCAAAGCTAAGAAGATTATGATGGACCTCTCCCATCCCAACAATGGACTCTTCTCACTGTTGAGGTCTGGGAAGCGCTTCCGCTCCCTTAAGGCCAAAACAGAGAGAATGAGGAGGAGCTTCTTCCCCCAGGCTATTCGGGCCCTGAACCAGGTGTAGGACTGGACTCTCCCACACACATCACTATAAGACTGGACTCTCACACACATCACATCACCACACATTTCCTATAATTTATAATCTTTATAATCTCTTTCTGCTGTTTGCACATTTTTATTTATTTTTTTATTTTTATTTTTACTGTAAATTCTTAAGTTAATTTGTATATTTTGTAGTAAATTGTAAATACTGTAAAACTTTTTTCTGTCATTTAATGGTCGGGCATTGTACAGCTACAAGCATTTCACCCCCATGTCATACTGTGTATGGTTGTGTGTGTGTGACAAATAAAATTTGAATTTGAATTTGAAAAATGCTGCAACTTCAGTGGTGTGGACCTGGTTTAGCTTTCGTCCGTCAGATACACAACAAAGCACTATTTTTGGTAGCGCATGCTAGCGGGCCGTCGTTATTACAGTGTTTTTTGGAAAATACGGCACACTTAAAATCAATCCTTTGATTTTTCTGAAAATCGAGAGTGCCCCTTATAATCCCGTGTGCCTTATGTATGAATTCTGGTTGTGTTTACTGACCTCGAAACAATTTTATGTGGTACACGGTGGTCGAAAACCAGTTGAATGATTTAGTACGACTTTGCTAAGCTACGAACCCGCACCGCTTGATGGATTGCCGGAGCATTACGGCTATTGTAGGCAGGAGCCTCGCGGAGTGATACGTACTGTGCTTCAACATAATATCACCGTATTGTGTGTGTATAATATATTATATATAATATAATAAATATATTATGCTGAGGATATGTCGGCCAATTTCCACTGGAAATGCCTTTTGGTTAAACTGTGAGCAAGGAATTTGCACTTGCAATGTTAAATTTTTATATAACTTTAATGCACATAAAAGCTGAAGGTTTAAGTGAATGGGTTTTTTGGTTTTTTTTGCACTAATAAGGTTGTGGAGTTGTAAAGTGTTTTGTCTAGTGTCAATTATATCGTCAGTTATATCGTTATTGCAAATTTTCAAATGTATATCGTGATAAATATTTTTGGTCATATCGCCCAGCTCTAGACACCATATTGACCGGAATAAAAGTGAAAGTTGCAATCGATTAAAATATACAATTATAAGTTCAGATATTGCTGGAGAGTTTGCAAGTTTTATTTGCAGACTTCAAGTTGTTACCATTTGTTTTGAGCCTGTTTATGCCAAAGTTAATCAGTAGTAAAATTGTTTTATGAGGCCGGTTTAGCCTGTAGCAGCTTGTAAAGGCTCAGGTAAGACATTCTTCTGCCATGAAATACATTCATAACACCAAACACTTCCTTCTAAATATATCACCTAACTAATTGGGAAACCTCTTAAAAGCCCTGAGAATATGTTTTTTCAACAAGATAAACCTTTAAACAAATAAGGGAGTCCTGACAGATCCATTTAAATGACTGTTGTCAAATTATTATAACTTATATAGGTAAAAACAGGTTTTAGAAAGCTGTCTTGGTGATTAATCTTAATTGTAATTTAAATATACTTTGAATACTTGAATACATATAGAAATACATTGTCTAAAGAGGTAGTTTGCAAAAAAAAAAAAAAGCCTACTTCTATATAATGTGTTGTATGTCATAACAGAAATGGCAAAAAAAAAAGTATTTGTTTTGGTCTGTCTGAGTGAAACTGGGACATTCAGTTAAAGGATTTCCAGAGTTTTCCATGGGGGCCCGGGGCTAGACGGCAGCCGGGTTAAATTTCCAGATGATGTTATTCCACACAGACCTGATGGAAACATGGCAGCACCCTGCCATATAATGGAGGAGGACCAGAAAGACAGAGAGAGGAAAAGAGAGGGAGAATGGGAGCAATGCCTAGTTTGACTGATTTAGTCCTACTGCTTCTGAAGAATCTATAAAATATTCTGTGTACACTGGTAGTAAAGCCAATCAGCTTGCTATCAAGTAAGATCTGGAAGGAAAAAACAAAAAACAAACCATACTGGGAGGATATGGTTGGGGTCATCACCGATCCTGACTTGGACTTACAGGATTAATAATGCAAAGTTCTCCAAATTACTGGATGCATTTTGTACAAAAAGATGTACACGTGACATAACAGTTGCTGCACCTTTAAAGCAACAGCTGTTGAAAAAAACAAATCTGTCTTTGAGAGGCATATCTGATGAATATCTCCTGCTCCTATAATGACCTCAACACAGTGTGCACAATTTCCTGACACTATCAGTCTGACAAGTTAAACTGCACTTCAGAAAACTGACAGCCTGACGGTGTTTCCCCCACTGGAGGCTAGAAGTCAAAACAGTTCATAAATAAGCTGGCCTGGATCTCCACACAACAAACATCCATAAAAGAGTCTGTCTGATGTAATCTTCTTTAAATCCAGTCCTTTAAATCTATCCCAGACTGCAGAACACCAACAGTGTTTCACATCAGTTACCCCCGAAAACAAAGAAACCTCTCGGTTTTGAAGACGCCAAGATATTACATAGCAAATTTATTTAAACTTGACTTAAAAGCCTGAAACAGTTGTATTGTAACCTGCTGTACAGCTGCCAACACATAACCTCACCTGCCTGAAAGTTGCTCACAATACAGATACAAAATTACTCATTATAAGCTAATAATGACAATCCGCAGCATCTTTCTCACCTTCAGCACTTTTTACAGCCTTGAGTAACTGCAGAGATTCTATATTGCACTGTGAATACTATCAAAACATGGGTGGCCACAGAGAAGTGCTGTGCTACTTTTAATACTAACAGAGTTAAGAGATCACTTCACCGAGCCAGTGGGACAAATGTGAAAACAATATATGTGCGCTGGTTTAATACAATGAACAAAGGTCCTACTGTCAGTATTTATCTTCAACAGTTCAGACCACATTGACTTTACAAAGATTATCCATCTGATTTGGATAGACTCTCTCTCTCACACACACTCACACAGAGAGAGAGAGAGAGAGCGAGAGAGAGAGAGAGAGAGAGAGAGAGTGTGTTTCTGACAAGGCACCAGTGTCTTGAATCATTATCTCAAGTATTTTTCCATCTGTTGTTTGCCAAATTCTTCAGACTGGGCCACACAATCCAGATGTGGTCTGGCCTCAGATATAGAGCAAATCAGACTTCTGCTCTTTGCTGCTGATTCACTGACAGACCAGGCGCTTTCTGGCAGATTGCGGTCATAGGGACAGAAAATGCACCTGGGTATATAAAAACCACATTTAGTCTATAATCCACAAACAAAGAGAACATCAGTTTGATTTTACAGCAGAAAACTGCTCGTCTGCACAGAAAAATACTATAATATACAGTCATGTGAGAAAATGAGGACACCCTTTGAAAGCCTGTATACTTAAAATATATTTGGAGATGTGGATATTTAATATAAATTTTAATGATACTGAGGGATCCAAATAATATAACTAAACAATTAAAAAATAAGAAAAGCCTTTTTAAAACTTTATGTGAAATGTAATTTTAAAAGATTGCAATTTCTGGTGAAGAATAAATTAGGACACCCCCACATATTATCCCACTTAAAATGGTTAAAATCACACACACAGGTGTATCTTGTCAGGTGCACATGATCAGTACATCATTAACCAGGATTTTAAAGGAGCCTTGCCCTATTTAAACCTCAGATTTAGTTTGGTGTGCTCCTGACTGTTGAAGTGTTGAAGTGAACGCCATGGTGAGATATAAAGAGCTGTCTGATGCCCTCAGAAAGAAGATTGTGGCTGCTTATGAGTCTGGTAAGGGATTTAAAAAGATCTCAAAAAAATTGGACATCAGCCATTCCACCACCATCGATTGTTTACAAGTGGAGGACATTCAAAACAACTGCCACCATGCTCAGGTCTGGCCGTCCAAGCAAATTCTCCCCAAGAGCAGATCGCAAGATGCTCAAAGAAGTCATCCAAAATCCTAAAATGTCATCATGGGAACTACAGCAGGCTCTGGCTACTGTCGATGTGAAAGTGCATCACTCTACTATCAGAAAAAGACAACACAAGTTTGACTTTCATGGGAGGTGTGCAAGGAGGAAACCTTGGCTCTCTAAGAGAAACATTAAGGCCAGACTGAAGTTTGCCAGAGCGAACGTAGACAAAGACTATGACTTCTGGAATAATGTTCTTTAGACAGATGAGTCTAAAATTGAATTATTTGGACACCAGAACAGTAGACATCCATAGTCCTGGAATGGCCAAGTCAAAGCCCTGATCTTAATCCTATCGAGATGCTGTGGGGTGACTTGAAACGGGCTGTACATGCAAGAAAACCCTCAAACATCACACAGCTGAGAGAATTCTGTGTTGAGGAGTGGGGCAAACTTTCTTCTGATTGATGTCAGAGACTGGTAAAAGGCTACAAAAGGCATCTCGCTGAAGTTATATCAGCCAAAGGCGGCAACACTAGGTTATTAGGGGGTAGGGTGTCCTAACCTTTTCCTCCATTAAAATGCACCACTTTGGTGCATGCTACAATAATCTAGTTCACTCAGAGCACAGCAGGAGATTCAATGGAATTAAAAAAGAAATGAAGAAATTTACCGTTGGATTTATGAAATGTGTGCACCAGCCTATTTGTTCTTACCAACTTGTGTATAAACAAATATATGATTTACGCACAAATACGTGCGTAGGCACTGTTAATAACTTGTCATTTACTTACTAGCTATAGTTTTTAAAGAAACATGCACTTCTCTTGTTAAACACACAAGCAAAACCAAAAGTTTCACTAGACCATGGTGTCAAAGCTTTTCCACAGTCCATAATAGCTTCTCTTCACTGGCCTACTGTTAAATCCTGAACTTAAATTCTGCATGATCAAGCCCTGTCATATATTAACAGTATTAGATTATTCCAAAAAAGCACTTAGCTTCAGACTACAGGTTTACTTGTGGTTCCTAGAGTTTCTAAAAGTAGACTGGGCGGCAGAGCTTTTAGGTATCAGGTTCATTTCCTGTGGAACCAGCTCCCAGTTTGGATTTGAGAGAGACACTATGTATACTTTTAAGATTAGGTTAAAAACTTTCTTTTATGATAAAGCTTACAGTAAGGGCTATACCAGATAACCCAAGACCATCTCTTAGTTATGTTGCAATAGATTTTGGTTGCTGGGTGCTTCCAATGATGCACTGAGTATTTCTTCTTCACTCAACAATTTTCTTTCCATGTGTTTAATCATCACTATTGCATTTAGAGGTTTAAACCAGCCCTCCCTGAGCCTGGTTCTGCTAGACGTTTCTTCCTGTTAAAAGGTTTCTCCTTTACCATCAGGGAAGCACTTGGTGACAGTGGGATTCTTAGGGTGTTCCCTCTAATATTGTTGGGTCTTCACCCTACAATATAAACCTGAACTTCTCAGCTTGTAGAAGACAATAAGGGTGGAACATTACTTAAAGACAAGAAGAAACCTTATTAAAGGTTAAATGGGGATTCTAGACAGAAATATAATTTGCAACCCAGTGGGTTTGATAGCAATTAACATTTCTTTCTTGCTGTGTATAAAAAGCACCTGCAGGGGAAAAACAGTGACTAAAGCTCCAAGCATCACTGAGTAAACCTATAATAAGACCAGATTCAGCTCAGATACATTGGACAGTCACAGCAGGAAAAGAGTGGGTGTAATTAATATTATAGATGGCTCTGCTCCATTTACAGGTGTTTGTGCCAGTATGCAACACACCTAGAAGGAATCCAGCCTTTATAAATGTAATGAGTAACACCTGTGCTTGAGTTCGTCTTTGGAAAGGCTTGCCATTTGTGAGACCAAGAATGAGTAAGTGTGAGTGAGAAGGTTCGGCCTGAAGAGAGATGTTTGCTGTGTGATAATTTCATCTACTTTAATAAGCACTTCAGTTAAATTATACAGGCAGCTTCATTCTGACAGGGATAACAACCAATATTAAACATGTGGAGCTGGAACAGACAGACAGACAGAGTGTAAATAAATGAGAAATTGACCACAGTAATTGGCCAAAGGTATAGAAGTTAAGGAACATGTGTATTTAGCATGTCTATTTAGACCTAATTTTTCATCCATTACATTACTTTTTCTGTCACTTTCTATGTGACCAACCAAATGTCTGTCCAAAAACATGCCACTTACTCAATATTTAAATGATTCTTCATGTTTTGCTCTTCCTGAAGTGAACAGCTCTGCCTTTGAGTACAGTTCTTTAGAACACAGGTTAACTGTTAATTCATTCACCTTGACAAGAAGCTGCTGAAGTTTTGCAGGTCACTTGAATCGAGCACCACATTCAGATCGCCAATGGTCCTCTTTGATCTCTCACTGTCCTGCTGGAAATAACACACAATCCATTATTCAGTTACAGCACAATAAGTCACTTTATTTACAGTGACCAGTTTCACCCATCTGTGTTGCTCTGCTTTAAATACTTTGTCAGATTAAGAGAATGTCATGCTGACATGTCATGCATGACCCTTCGGATTTCACTATTGTCCAATTATAAGAACTCACAAAAGCAAAGCAAAACAATACAACAGAAGTGACTGAACTCAAATCTCCTCTTGAATTTTAATCTTTATTATATAATTATTCTTGAGTTAAACTGGTTTCATTTCTCTTACAGATTCAAACAGCTGAGTAAGCATTTACAGTTCAGTGTCTGGACTATATATATTATATTATATAACTGATATATAATCAGTCAAGTTTCTAAGCTATACCATATCTTTTCATCATCGTTAATGTGATCAGGAGCAAAATGTGGGTAATAAACAATGGGCAGATGAGTGGTGACACATAGTAGCTTAACAAATTAAGCCTGTTTTTCAGTTCTCTGAATGTGAGAAACAAAACAAAACTGATCATTTAGCCTTATTAAGTTGGGGAAAATATTTTCAGGAAAAGCCAAGGGCCCAGTTGATGCTCGAAAGAAATAGTTCAGAGCATCCACAATCCATAATGTGTATTATTTTTACTCACCTGTTTGTATTTTAACTAAATAGACAAGAAAACCTTGCTTTTTATCTAACCTTTGCTAAATTTCTAAATGTTTTACAGAGTTAGGCTAGCCATTTCACCCCACCCCACCAGCCTTCATGCTGAACTTGGCTTCGACTAAACAGCTCTTTCTCTGTGTTAATGAAAAAGGTGTTTTTTAAATATATATATATAGTGTTGTACGCCACACTGTTGTACGCCACACTGTTGTACGCCACACTGAAGGGATTGAACTACCAGAAGGCAACATTGCAGACATAGAGGACAGTTACAAGTACCTGGGGATCCCGCAGGCGAATGGGAACCATGAAGAAGCCGCTAGGAAAGCTGCAACCACCAAGTACCTGCAGAGGGTCAGGCAAGTCCTGAGGAGTCAGTTGAACGGTAAGAACAAGATCTGGGCCATCAATACGTACGCCCTGCCCATGATCAGGTACCCTGCTGGGGTAATAGGCTGGCCAAAGGAGGAGA